GCGTTAGCTTCTAAGTTATTAATACATTTTTTCCTGAAAGAAACATTTTATAATTAATAATAGAATAAAATTCAAAGTATCTATGATAAGGAAACCCTTCAGACGTTGATGCATCAGGTAAATTTTATGGGAAACGACTGCGCTTACCATACAAAGAGGATGCGACTTCTTCGGGCGATAAACATGATAGCATTTTAGATTCAGATTTAATTCCCCCTGCGAGAGCCAAGAAGATTAGTATTAAATACTTGCAAATAATCCCGAAAAAAATGCTTTCTCGCCTTTTCTTACATTTCGAATGTATACAGTTCAAACCCGATAAAGAAAACGTGAATGTCGAGGGAGTTGACAACGATACTAACAATCTACAAATGACTTCATTGGCATATCAACAATTCACGGCTACATATCAAAAAATTCCACAAGAAAATAAATGGACCTTGTCAACCGGAAAAATCGTTGAAGATGCACTATATGCATTTGGAATAAAATGTTCACACGAACAGCGAGTATTTACTCGTACTTCTTTTTACAATTCAATGTCAATTTGTTAATATTTTTTTTGAAAGCCTCTGCCATTCTTTCTTAATCGACCCGGATGACGAGAACTACATACAACAATGCATCTTCACATGTGAAGAATTGAAAGAAATTAAAAATTTCGACAAGAAAGAATTACCATTAATGCCGGATGATCTTTTGAAGTATCTTAATAGCTTCCGAAAGGTGAGTAATTTTCATATTATTCTACACACATTATATAACTCACTAAGACAATGTACCAAATAGTCCAAGACTTCCGACTTGCGCGAATTAATCTTTCATCCTGGTTTACATAATCAACCATTCGACCGATCAAAAAATTTTGATTATGATTGGATACGAAATACTATATATAATCTGTAAGTATAACGTTATTTTGATTATGTCGTACATGACTGTTAAGGAAGTTGTTATTTTATAATAGCGTGCTCGAGTATGAAGCGAATCATCTCACAAAGGATCATCTTGAAGTATGGATCATGTTACATATATAGACATTTATCGATAAAGCCTTCTTAGAAATAGATGGCATGGAAATTACTAGGTAGGCATAAAATTGTTTTACTATTATAATTGTGGTATGTTTTCTCACTATTTGTTTGCAGAGGTGAATCATGTAGTTATGCGTCATCAAATCGAAAAAATTCACAACGGGTAGTTGCATCAACGAGTCCAATTAAAAGAAAGGCAATGGGTCGGCGTGGAGATCTAATAATTCGAAAATGGCATTCGGAATACGGGTGTAGTGAAGCTGGAAAAATCTTCGATGGCAAAAATGGTACAAAGATCATTAAAGAAGGAGGTTTGAAAATGCCAAAAATGCTTCGAGACATGTTCAACGATCTTTGTGAGGCTACTGAAATGCGGGAGTGTAAAATTAGAAAATTGGAAACAGTCGGGTTTATCATCGCGGGTATTTATATAAGATTTTATGTTTGTTATTTCTTGATTTGTGACTCAATTTTGTTATTTTAGGTTTGAGGATATCACTGATAAGGGTAAATTTACCAGCGGGGCATGTCTGTAGATTGTCACGAACACGGCTTTTTGAGATACCAACTTAGGTCTCTGAATTCAGTGCAAAAGTCCTTCCAACAATAAGCAAGCAAAGGTTAGTGTCAGTTTAGGTATTTTATAATTTGTCTCATACTTATTTGTCTTCATATTTATTTGTCAATTAAACATTTTTAAAGAAAATAGTGAAAAATGTAATCAAATTAATGGAGGAAGAAGATTTGTCGGAAGTACAACAGCTCGAAACATTACAGAACTGTGATTACGAAAGTGGTTTAAGTACACCACCGCCTAGGTTAGAATTTCTATCACACCACAAGGTCAACGAACCAATAAAAATAAAAAGTGAAAGCAACATTTATTACTACTATTCAAGTAGCTAATAAATATAATACATATTCATATAGTGTCCCACAATTTGGACTTTAAATTCGTGTATGACTGTATGCGGTGCAATTTGTAACGTGCACGTGTTTTTTCATTCATTGATCAGAGCTAATGCAGTATATTTATAATTATGCAAATTCGCGGGTAAGGCGC